GGGACTGCTATACTTACCTGTTCTTGTTATTTGTTGATTTGTGATTGTAAGGTTACCAGCACAGGGACTTCTTATTTTGCATCTTTTACACCATTGTTCATGATGGTGCTTGGTACTTAGTAGTAATGTTGAGAAAATAGGTTCTATTTCTGCAAATTGAAAAATTAAATGTTTTGCTTCTCAAATTTAATCATCGAATTATCCTACAACTTGAGTGACCTTTATATTGTGCAACCAGCCTGCTACATATCCAAGCCTTGAAAGCATCTTTGAGAAGAAATTATGACAACTACCAAACTTGTGATCTCCTACATAGCAAAAATCATTTTATAGCTATTTATGGGATTGAGTTGTCATTGCAGTTTGTTCAAGAGTTAATTGAATTGATTAAATATATAACATTATATAAAGCAAGAATTTGTTGCCCTTTAACAACAAATAATATAACCTTTTTATAATGACTTCTTTTAGTTACTGGAAAAGTATTGACACAAACCGTTAGATAATGAAATAACACATACTCACACGTGCGTACGCACTTTTGTGTTCACTAAGTTGATAGCTGGGAATAGAATATGTGGTAAGATTATCATTTTTAGAGAAATAGCACCCAACTTTTCAAAATAGTCTGTAATTGGTGGTTCCATGATCTTGTCTAAATAGGCAAGTTATAGTATAAATGTGTTGGTATAGTTGGAATAGCACAGCTCCAGTTGTGTATCTTAGTGGTTCTCAAACTAGTGGTTTGGACCTCATTTGGAGTTGCAGGCCCCACACAAATTGAGTTATAGTGGTCAGGCTCAGACCAGAAGTAGGTTCAAGTGGGGGAAAAGGTTGGGGAATCACTAGGGTGAATGCAGGTTTATTGGTATAAAATTGCTTCTCCTGTGGTAGCATGTGACTGAATGGGCAAGAGAATAAGCTCTTTCTGTAAAACTGCCTCCACCTGAAAAATTTTTAGCAATATATATGTTCTGATTTTTTTTTTTTAATCGTTCTCCTAACTTAAGTATTGAAACTTTTTTTTATAAAGAAAACTGCAAGTAAGTCTGGCTTCTGTCAGAATTCTAAATCCCTTGTTGTAATGCAATGTGTTATAAATGTAGGTAGGTTTATTGTAAGACCATACAAAGCATTGATAAAGCAAACTGTGAGGGAAATGGGAATAAAAGTGGAAATATTGTTCTACCTGTTCTAAATGTTCAAATCTCATACAAAAATGGTTCTAGATTTTAATATTTGCCTTTACAATAAATGAATCACTTTAATTGAAATTTTGGTTCAATTAAAAGTGGTTGGTACTGTTGTGATCAGAAGTTCAATTAAAAAAGAACCAGTTTTTGTAGAATAAATTGCCAGGCCCGTAGACTCTGATATGGCCTAATTCTACTGCATCAATGCATACCTCCCAACCATACCCTTTGTAGATCAGCAGTTAGTCACAGTAGCTTAGTTAAAGACCATTGAGTTTATTGTAGCTACTTGTATACTATTTTTAAAGTAGCTCTATTGGAGTCTCCATCTTTTAAATTTTGTATAGGAGTGTAAATACATTTGAATTGTATGAGGTATGATGGGTTTCGTATGTGTGAGTGCATGTGCTTATGTGCATCTGGGTATCTTGGGATTTATATTGATGCTAATTTCCATAGCTTATTGATATGAGTACATATTATGAAAATTAAGCTGTTGCCTTTCTAAAAGCCAGTTGAAACCAGTGATCAGTTTCCTGCTAGTTATTGCCAGGCTCGTATAATATCAGTCTTTAATAATGTCCAAGAAAAAGTGGTGCAAGACTCAATGCAGCTTTTTCCCAAATTATTTGTACTTCTTTATTATTTTTGGAAGTTCAAGAAAACACATGAGTATACAGATCTTTATTGTTTACATGAATGAGTGAAATGACAGTTAAAAAAAAAAAAAGTCTCTGCTTTTCCTCTTTTTTTTTCAAAGATGCTTTGTTATTTGTACCTGCAACACTTTTTAGTGGTTCAGAATACATAAGTAAATAGATATCTGCGCGTCCATATCTGTGTAGAGTCCAAGACTGTGTACCAGGCCTCTTCAAATTTGTATCTTAAAGTAAGCTAGGTTTTGACAATTTCAGGCAAATATGTATATTTTAAGAATGACTTCCTTTCATTTACTTCTGTTTGCAAAATGTATATAAACACTGGTATTCTTTGTGATATTTCAGGGAGATCTGATTTATTATTCAGCAGTAATCAAAATGCAGTATGTCCTCTCCCTTTCTTTTTGTTTTGTAAAGAATCCAAGTTTACAGAACTTGGGAGTTATATACTTTGTGCAGTTTCAGGATTGGGGTTTCTATGTCTGGAAAACTGGCCTGTTTTGGTAGCTGGTGGAAAATGTATTTGGTTAGATTGAAGCCTAAATAATTCAACGAGGTTTAAAAATTATATTCTCTAGTACTTGCTCCAGTTCCAGTGAGTTCAGGGTGTATGCATTGCACATGTAGTTAAATGGGTTGTTGCTTGAGAGTAACTGACTTTTATATTCAGCTTTCCTACAAGTTTTCTTGCAGCAGACCATTCCTGTTGGGGGAGAGGGAAAGCCAAGAACACCATGGTGATGTCAGTCTAGTAGGAAAGAAGCTGTTGTCATGTTATCAAGTCCTAATAAAACCTGTTTTGAAATCTTGTTTTTTACATTTCGCTGGCTGGTGTTCGCTCGCGCTCTCTCTCGCTCTCTCTCTCTCTTTTCCCCCCCCCTGCACTAAATGAACTATATTCAAGCATCTATTTGAAAAACATCAGTCATTACTAGTTAACAATACAGCTCATCCCTTAATGTTCATCGCTAACTCTGCATGCCTGTTGCTATGGAAACAGTATTAATTAGATTTGAAAGAAACATGTAGATCAAGAAGGTAAGGGGGTTGGTTTTAAGCAAATCTGTCTTAAAACACTGGTACTAGTATACTAAGTTTTCATTTAGACTCTGAGGCTTTTCTGCTCTTATGTTTGTTTGCTACTTTTAAGGAAGTAAAATAATTTTAAACTGTGCTGCAAATTTTGAAACAGTAGAGTACAAGCAAGAGGTGTTTAAGAGCAGACATTGTATATGTACACATTGGGCCATAGCTCACTAACAGTTTTAAGTGGAAATTTCCATTCACTTCACTGATGAGCTCTTCCTAAAAATTGCTGACTTGGAAATAAACTTAGTTTTGAGTGAAGTATTACATAGGCTTAATGGGAATTTTTCTTATTTAAGTGTGCCTAATAAGGCCCTTAAATTATAAGGAACTAAAATCAGTTCTTTGCATTGATTACCAGCATTATAAACTATATGTTTAGAGTGTCCAGACAGATGCCATCAATCTTACTCGTTGAATGTTTTCTCATTTTGTGAATAGTTACCTTGTTTTTGGTGGGGCTGCTTGAGGAGAGAGATACCACTTGTTGCAAATAAGGGTGAAAGAATTTGGTGAAAAGAATTGTGTGTTGATCTTTTTCTGTTACTTGTATGAATATATTATGATTTACTTATACATTTTAAAGGCATGTTGGGCAGACTCATAAAAATAGGGCAGTTTTGCAAAGAAATGTCTATCTAAATAAAGAATATTTTTTTTGAACATTAGCAATATAATACTTGGAAGCCTTATTTTATGGGATTTGATTGGGAGTAATAGTTTGAGGGGTAGAGGAGAATTCAGACATTGTTTTACTTTAAACAGCCAAGTTTTAAATAGGATTTTTTGTTTCTCACTTTACCAGTAATACAATAGTACATGATGCTGTTAAATAGTTATTAAAGGATTGTAACGGAAAATCAAAGAGTTAATTTGTCCAAATATTATGCATCTATAGTTAACATCCTGCTGCATTACTAGCTCCGCACCACCTGCTTCAGTCTCGGAAGTGTTCCATACATCTCTCTGTGTGATCTGCTTCAACACTGGGCTGGAAAGAAGCTTTTAACAAACTTTTGCTACCTCTCCTCTCAGTTCTGATTGCTAGGATGAACTCTCCCTTCCACCTGCAATTGTGTACCGTGCCAGTGGCAACTGGAGCTACTACTCAAATGGAAACATAACATAAAAGAATTTGACATATTGTTATCTTCTTTACAAGTGTTTCAATAGCTTAAAAAAAGGGGGGGGGAGGTGAGCCGGGGCCATGTGACCAGCCAGCTCTGCAGAGCATTAGCAGTGCTCTCTAGCCCCCAGTATGGGCACTACTGCTTCAGAGTTTTTGTTATGCTAAATACAAAGTAATAAGGGTTGAAAGGAGTGTAGTGCCTCATTCCCCAAGGCAAAGGATGCTTTTTGTCTGCGTATTTACCGTAAGTTACAAAATATACTTTTCTCAGGCAAAACTGTATTAATTTAGCTGAAGCATTATTTTACTAATTCTGTTTCTCCACAGAGCTCATTCTGCAAAGCAAGCCCTGGAAGGGATCTGCTGACAGCTTGTGGAAAGGAGTTAAAGTGATTGTGGCAAACAACAAACCTCTGCAGGATCAGAAATATCAATCAGTCTAGTAAAACATGCACGGAGCTGTTGACGAATAGCGAATGGCTGTGGGGAGGAGGGCTCTTCCTTTGCATTTATATTAATATCTAAACTTATGGTTCAGGGGAAGTAGGAGCACAGAATGTGAGTTACTCTGTTGTAGCCCATGGTCCTGTGTGGTATAGCTACATCGGAGACAAGGCAAAAAGTCCTCAAAGAAGGATAGACTGATCTTCATCTTGTGATTACTGGACAGAAGAAAGAAATAAAAGCCAAACTGGAATAAAATGCCAGCTAAAGGCAAATACTTCTTCAATGACAATGAAGACTGCAAGATAACAGACCCACTTTATGGGAAGTACTGCTACACAAGTCAACAGCAACCGCTGCTTCTGCTGCTGCTCTTCATTGCAATTACTTTCTGCACTACACTAATTATTATTTTTTTTGTTAAACATGTAAGTTGAATCACTTATTCTTGCTTTGTACCATGTTGTGTGATTGAAGGAATGTGTATCAAAACTCACAAACTTGCTAGATACATATTTCATTGAACTGTGACTCCTTGTTTCAGTATACTAAGAGTTGCAAAATTAAATGAAGAACCAAGGAACACTAGAGACGGAGAGTGTCCAACAGCACCCCCCCCCCAATAAATTCTTGAGTGTGAGTTGGAAATTTATGGAAAACAATTGTTAGTGTGTGTGTATTTTTTAAAAGTACATATAGAAACTTTGTGGTGGTGAAATTAAGTTAGCTGAGAATGAGGTCATGTTATGGGTGAGATCCATGTTTAGGAATAGATTAGGGAGTTGCTGTCTCTGGTGATTAGTTTTTAGCATGATACACTTTCTGTTTGGGACATGAGTTTGTGTAATTATTTGCTGTCCAGTTATGCAAACAGGTATACTTTTTAGGAGAACCAAATTCAGTACTGGTGAGAAGAGAAAGGAAGCAGAAATAACTAAGCTAGTAAGTCTCCTTGCCGCCTTTTAATGCTGTTGTCCAAATACAGGTTGAACCAATCTTTCAGGAATACAGATGGTTATAGACTGGCATCTGTGGGGGAATGTTTATCCTAAACTTTGCTAGTTCAATTTTCTTCCCTCTTGGCATTTACAAATAGGAGTTGCAACTGGCATAAGCCATCAAGCTCACTCCTGAATGTTTTTCAGAAGTGGTCCTCTTCAATCAGCAGAGGTGCTCAGCCCTGTAGTAGCTCATGCCTAAGTTTTAATTGAAGTCCCCAGTTCAGTTCTTAGCCAAGAGAATCACAGTGGCTTAATTTTTTTTTCTGCTAAATACATTACAAACAATATTTTACCAGAACTAGAGGTTCAAAACGATTTTAGACTAACAGGTGCATGTATACACATTACCACATAAAGTTTAGAGAAATATATATTTTTTTTCTTTCAGCCTTACAAGGAATTTTCCTTTTTCTGGGGTATTTGTTATGTGCACAGACCTCTATATCTGTCTGAAAAGTACATCTACTTTCATTTTTATAGAAATAGCCCATTCACTTCAGTGTAATATGATGATGATGATGACATAACTGTATTGATGACATTTAGCATTTTTACACTTATTTGTACTGATTTTCCTCTTTTAATAACATGTCTTGCTTGTTTGTTTGCTTGTTTTTATCAGGAAGCACATCATCATCTTGCTTTTGTTATTACAGTATGTATTACACTAGTAATATTTGCAATCATCTACTTGATTGTATGCATTGAATCCTTATTTAGAAGATGGCTGAAATTATTTGGAATTTTGATTTGGATCTGCTTCCTAACCATAGGATATGTGTCTGTTTTTGATACTGAAGGTCACCATTCATTCTGTGCATGGGAACAGGTACGTGCTTCCTGTTTGTTCGTATACTGACATTTAGAAATGATACCTACCAATAGTTTATAT